TCCACCCCATGTTTCTCGGTTGAAGCTTCACTGTTACTTGTTTGAACTTTCAGCTATTTTCCATGTTATCTTTGATGACAAAATAAGCGAGAGCTGCTCGGAGTCACAAAACAGCAATTACAGAAGGAGTGAGGAGAATTACCATGCAGTCAAAGCTGCCGCGTTGATGTTCGGAGCCCCGTTTCATGTGGTTGTTGAGCTATCTTGCTCCGGAAATCCTCAAATATGAAGCACAGCACAGTGCTCAAAAATCCGGCTCTCGAAAAGAAGTATAATAATTTCTCGGAAGACACTGTTTGGCGTGTGTTAGTGGAACTCCGAGTTCACTGTTCAACGGAAAATGAGTGGGGCACATTGAAGATACGAAATCAACGCAGATCGAGCCAATGTCCGCCAAAATCTGTGGTTCGAAACTCTCGTCAGAGCGAGGTCATACTGGGTGCCTGGGCATCTTAAAGGAATCCTTCGCGGAAAATTCTTGCATTCTTTCTCAACATGAATGTATCAGTTGTGATCACTAGATGCAATACACAAAGTTTTACGCATGAAGGTTCGGTTTCCGAAGAGAAACAAACTCACGAAAATCCATTCTATGGACATCGAGGTAATTGAGCGGCAGCCCGAATTACCTTCGATGTCCATAGAATGGCTTTTCGGCCGGCGCATGGAATAAGTCCGCACTGGGGCGCCTACGTATCAGGCGACGCAGTGAAAGAATTGGGTTAAAGCGTGCGATTTTGGAGAGTAGAGACAAATCGATCGATAGAATAGGATGGAGTAGAAGTGTAAGATGTGAATGCAACAAAAAGGCCAGAAAGAGTTTCTAGTGAAGGCACTCCAAGAACCAAGTGGAAGCATCCCCGTCGCCAGCATTTGTGAAAGACGTCCGTGGGCACTTTGAACGCGTAGCAGCCCTTTCGATTTTTCGAATTTTTTACCAAAACAAAGCAATTTTTCTGTTCTTTTCATTCTTATCGTGGATGATGAGTCTCAAGCCAGTGATTTATGGCTGAAATAGAATCATGGTTTTTCCGTGAAGGATTCCTTCAAATTGCCTGTCCTCACTTCTCTTACTGGTTTCCTTCTTCAATACGAGGTTTTCTTTCTGCCAAGCACATATGTAGAGTAGAAAAAAATTGAGAGAAATGCAGACATACAGTAAAAAGGTATCGGGTAGGGTGAATTTGACGTGCATCTGGCCCAGCACGCAAACATTATCGAAAGTTGTCTAGGTTTCTGCGGTGATTTAGTGTTTTCAAATGTGCACTACTCATTTTCCTTTCGAAGCAGTGGTCTCAGAGTTTCTCTAACACACGCCAACCGCGTCTTACGAGAAAATTAGCTTTTTTGAAGGCTGGATTCTTGAGCACCCCTTGAGTGAATCGGTTGCTTTTCCTATAATTCGACGGTTATCGCAACCGAAACGCGAAGAAAAGGGTTCAGTGCTCTTCTGGATTCCACATGCTGCAGGATTCTTGACGAAATGCTCAACAACCACATAAACGGGGCTCAAATCACGCGCGGTTTGACTGCATGGCAAATCTCCCCACTCTTTTGTAGATTTTGCCTTTTTTCTGAGTCCGACAGCGGTGTTACTTCCGTCATCACCTAAGAAAGAGGAAGTGGAAACAACCTGACAGTTACGCCAAATAACAATGAAGTTCAACCGAGAAACATGGGGTGGATTTATTTTTGCAATCGGCAAAGTGGCCCTTTTCTGAAAAATGAAAATAAAAAATTTTCGTGTTTTCGAAATGGAAGTTGGTGTTTACACTCGAAATTATATTTATATTGAGCACATTTTTCTTTCAAAGGCTTTTTCAGAAACACCCTATCATGCGAATTTTCAAGAACTTTCCAGGTGGATTTATATTTTGTGCAAAGCACCGTGCGTAAGTGTAGAAGTATAACTCCTTATGAGAGTATTTTACTGAAATTTGAGATATTAAATATTAGAATATACAATAGTATATGGAATATTATAATTATTTTGACATTCTTATAATATAGGTTCTTAGCTCTCTGGTGAGCAACTGTGGCGCTACAAGTTAACATATTTGTCGTCAGGGCAGAGAATAATC